TCCATCCATCCATCCATCCATCCATCCATCCATCCATCCATCCATCCGTCCGTCCGTCCGTCCGTCCGTCCGTCCGTCCGTCCGTCTATCTATCTATCTATCTATCTATCTATCTATCTATCTATCTATCTATCTATCTATCTATCTATCTATCTATCTATCTATCTATCTATCTATCTATCTATCTATCTATCTATCTATCTATCTATCTAGCCGCCTACGACTTTTAGCTCCCCTGGCCGTTTCGATAATGGTATCAATAGCAAACTTGGTATGGCATAACATGACTGTATGAAGAAGATATTTGACGAGTCATAACACGAAAACCATGACATGTGTTTCACGAATGTCATCATTTACATTTAATGGTCCTGCAGCTCTTGCAGTGGTTTCGTTCGCATGGCATGTTGCAAAACTGGTATGGTATGACATGATTGCATGGCGAACACAAGCGACAGACCGTAACATGAAAATTATCCCTATTGCAAAAACAAGCCCCACTGCGTACCACCGTCCAGCGCCATGCCTGATTATGGGCTCAGTATGGCGCTAGTACCAGCGCCTCCCAGCGCAGGTACTGGGACGCTGGAGCGGCAGCGTCCCAGTACTCTGCTCAAAATGGCTTCACAGGGTTAAAACGGGGGTGCCCACTCGCCCTAAATAAATAAATATTTAAGTAAAATAGTGCGCATTCACAATAAAATAAAAATAAATAAAATTGAAAAAATAAAATGCCCCATGACGGGATTTCAATTCACCACTTCCTGATTTTGAACCGAGTACGCTACCCACTACGCCACGCCAGAAAATGCACTAGGGCTGTAAAAGGACTATTTATCCGTAGAACGTGCCGTTCAACTTCATGTTTACAGGTCGCACGGTCAGGGCCGACACAATATTCTTTTCCAAGTACAATTGCGTCTTGATTTGACAGTGCGGAACGGCTTCCGGGCACCGATTGACGTGCAAAAATTAGCAAGAGCGCAAAGTTTTTTCGAAGCATCCACATCTTAACTCTGAGAAATCTCTAATTGACTTGAGGAGCAACCACAGATTGTCAGCTGTTGCTGCCGATAGTTTTTTCCTTTGATAGTCGGTTCTCGGACTTGCTACTGGTCAACATTTACAGATGATTTATATGTCGTGTTCGGCAGATATTCGCGCACACGAGTGAATATTGAGTATTTTTTTCCGGAAATGTTGTAGGGCCGTGTGCTTAGATTTGGGTGCACGTTAAAAAACCCTAGGTGGTCAAAATTGCCGGAGACCTCCACTACGGCGTCTCTCATAATCATATGGTGGTTTTGAAACGTTAAACCCCTCATATCAATCAGTATTTTTTTTCGCGCAAGCGACGATGTAGCAGTACACATCCGGCATGCCTGATTATATATTTATAGTTATATCGATCCCATCAACTAAGAAACCACCGAAGAAACGAATACTGCAATACGCTGAAAAAGTATGCCAGTATGCTAGTTCCCTAACACGTACGAACTTACCAACTCAAAATTGCGTGTTTTTACATACGAGTCAGAGAAGTACCGGCTCCTGCGCTTAAAAGGAAGCTTTCGGTGACAGCCTACATTGCTGAAAACGCGACACATCGATCGTCGCCGCTCCCGTGCGGGCACAGCACACGTGGGTAAATAGTCCATTTAGGCTCAGAGATGCCTCAACTGTACTTTACAGTCATTCCTACACTTTTGAATTGTGCCTACTTGAAATAAATTTGTGCTGGAAGCATGTACACCGACGCGGCCGGCACGATATAGGCCTCGCTGGGACGGGGTGCTGGGTAAGGCTGCTCTCGAAGCAGCTGAGTTGCGATGCTTGAAGTTTCTGAATTGGAGCTTTGCAACATTTCCAACTGTTATCTAAACTGTACCTGAAGTAAGTGGAAGGTCAATAAATGCCAGAAATACATTTCCGGAGTGCTGATGCCGAGCGACAGCCGTTTTTCTGGCCTCCACTGGCAGTGTACAGCGGGCGCGCCAGTGCACAGATATATGCAGTTATATTAATACCAACAATTAAAAAAACACCCATAGAAATACCAATGCAATCCGCTTAAAAACATATGCATATACTTCTCGAAGGCGTACCAAATTAATAACTGAAAATCGCGTGTTCTTACATATGAGTCAGAGAAGTACCGGCTAAGTGCGGCTGGTAGCTTTCGGTGAGAGCCTGCGTAGCTGAAAGCGCGAAGTTCGATCGTCAAAGCTATTTGTGCCAACATCGACACTAGGCGAAATAGTTGATTTAGGTTCATGGATGTCTAAACTGTACTTTACAGTTATTCTTAGACTTTAAGGTCGTGTGTACACGAAGCCAGAAGCGCCAGCAACATATATACCAACGCGGCCGGCACGACAGTTTTAATGCTCGTTGGGCCGGACACTGGGTAAGACCGCTCTCGACGCGGTGATTTGGGATGGTTGAAGATTCTGCATTTGAGCTTCGGAACATTTCTCTCACCTGAAGTAACCAGAAGGATACGCATTGCCAGATATACATTTATGCGGTGTGGCGGAATCGAACGACAGCTTTTTTTCTCCCCTCCGCTAGGAAACGTTGTGAAGCGATCGAGAGAGCTCATTTTCGTTTCGTCAACTTTGCGGCAAAAACAATTTCCTGTTTCTGTTAGGAGTGGCGTGCAGCTCCAGGCTTACAAACACTGCAACTTGGAATCGATACAACAATACACGAATGATGCGAATATGGCCGGTATATGCGGGGGCATATGCGAAAAAGGTGCATTTGAATTGATATAGACGATACGTGCGGGCGCCGCAAAAATGACGTATGCTCAGTATCTGTAAGAGCAGCATCTCTCTGTGCCGTCGAATCAAGCGTTTTATATTCAACGACACCAAAACCTTCCACTGCATATGCTACAATAACGTGCACGCTGCGCTGGTAGAAACAGTGCGTGCTATAGTATTCACCAGCGCTTGTGAGCTGGTGAATTCCAGCGCTTCCAGCACTTCGCAGTGTGCACCAGCATCACAGCGGTTGAGCCAGCGCCCCTACCAACGCGACACAACTTTTTCGCAGTGCTCCCAGCGAAGTGCCAGTGATTACAAGCGTGTACAAGTGTCTCCAGCGTGTACCAGTACCAAAAAACGCATTGGCACCACGCTGTTTTTGCAATAGGAATGACATGCGTGGCATATAACGACATGACTACATGCCATGCTTATGATGCGCTCGCGGCCGTTTCGCTAGCGTCACATATACCAAATTTGGTATTACGGTACGTAAATGGATGACGAAGGTATGTGACTGGTGCAAACATGATAAACATGAGATGCGTGTCGCGTAACAACATGGATACATGCTACGCTCATTATGCGCTCACGGCCGTTTCGCTAGCTTCACGTGTACCAAACTCGGTATTATGCGATGTGAGCAGATGACATAGGTAAATGACACATCCAAGCATGATAATCACGACGTGCCTGTCATGTAACAACATGACTACTTGCCCCACTGATGATATGCTCGCGGCCGTTTCGCTCGCTTACGAATGACAAATTCGGTATTACGTGACGCGAACGCATGACGAAGGTATGGGACTGGTGCCAACGTGATAATTATGAGATGCGTGTCATGTGAGAACATGACTACATGCCACAGTCAAGCTGCCAATGCATTTAGACGTGACGCGTTGTGCGTGCTCACCGGCGTTCCTTTCCTCGCATCACGCTGCCGTTGCCACGTCAGGCGCCAGTCCTGCCATATACTCGAAGGCGCGCGCCGCGCTGCGTCGCTTTGACGCTTGCGTGTTTCAGCGTGTCCGGCGCCCTTCTGTCACGAAAAGAGGGAGATGCTGTGTTCGGGTAATGCATCGGCGCGAGACGCAGCATGTCGCATTTCGGGCCGGTTGCCGTCGGGCCGTGCCGACGGACGCTAGACGTGCTGGTCGCGCCTGGCGCCAGACTATAGAGTGCTCGCGTTTTGCTAACGTAGCGTCGCTGTTCTCAGTATGCGCGCGCGTCAACGCTACATTGTAGTATATTGAGCCCTTCTTGATGCACTCGCGGCCGCTTTGTTAGCTCCACATAAACTATTTTTGGTGTTACGTGACGTCAATGGATAACGAAGGTATCTATGACTAGTGCGAACATGATGATCCTGACACGCGTGTCATGTAAGAACATGACAACATACTACGCTCCTAGTCTGCTCGCGGCTATTTCGCTAGCTCCACATTTACTAAACTTGGTATGATGTGACGTGAACAGATGACGTAGGTAAACGGCACATCCAAACAAGATAATCATGACACGGAAGTCATCATGACACAGCATCATTTACCTCCGCCTCGTGACCTCCTGCTGACTTTAAAGTGACATATAAACCTTTCTCATTTCTGATTCGCCTATAATCGATACGTGGGATCTGCCATTTTTTTGTACATAAGCTTCATCCACGCAAAGCGCTAGGTGGGGAGCCAATGTAGTGTCGCTCCAGTCTTGGCCAGCTGCCACGCTAATAACGAAGTCCACCGCGTGGCTCGTGATGGGCGATCCACGAGAAAGTCAGAACGGCCTAGCTCCTGGCCTAGTTAGATTCTCCAGCTGCGACCTCACCTGCGCCCCCTTCCCAATTAAAAGCCGCGACCTCGGCATGGCCTCATGAGCTGCCGTCTCATTTCTCGTTCCGCAACAATAGAAACAATTCTTAAGATGTAATGAAATAATTCAGTGAAACATTCGTCTCCACATTGAGGAACTGTTAAAATTGACCATAACAAAATGCCAACGACCACTTAATGTCCTACCGCTCCACATTGAGCTTCACATTCAGGCCGCTACTGAGCCTAGCTTGACTCTACTGCTCTAGATTCAGCTATGATGTTTCAATCTTTTCTCTATTATTCTTTTAGGAGGAGGACTTACTTTTTGCAGCGTTCAAGTTTTTTTCAGAATTGGCACGACGTACATGCAACAACAACAATGAGAATTGGGTTTGGCATTCTTCGTTGTTTATTTCAGTTTTATCACAAAGTATCTGTTTCATAACACACAAATGAAGAACGCTCACTTGGCAGAGCCGACCTGCCATGCGCGCGTTTTAAGAGTTTGTCATCTATCTAATGGACCAGCCACAGAGCCCGGCGTGACGCGTGTATTCAAAGGTGCAGCCCGACTAGAGTATCACATCTGGAGTCGCTTCTGGTAGCACTAGACACGTCTGTTCGTGGGCATGCTTCTCAAAAGTGCGGGACCATGGCGTCTTACCAGGGCACTGCTTTCTTCGACAAAAGCACGTGGTAAAGAGCACTGAGTGAAGGACGGCCATCTTAGGACGGCCATCTTTGGCTCTCTGTCACTGTTTTGTATGACGTGTAATCTGTCGTGCCCAGTGAATGAAGCGACTGCTTTCCTTCCTTTCCCCAACCTGCGCACCAGCGCACCTTGAATGCGACTGCGTGGGGATATCCCGAACTCATAATAGAGACCGCCTTACTGTTATGACGCAGGCCACGCAGTGAAAATTGAAATCTAACACCTGCGTCAATTATCTTTCGCATAGCGTGTATTATCTGAACGAAAAAAACTTTTAATTCTGTCGCATCAGTAGGTAAAGTACTTCAACGTCTCTGCTACTCATGACTGATGGCACCTCAAATGTATCTTTCTTCGATTACAACCGTCACAAAACGGCAAAACAATTAAACTACTGCCTTTGCTATGTCACTCTGAACACTTAGAATGGGACACTCGTACCAAAATCGGTTGCGCGTGACTCACGAATTTCAAAAGTAATGCATTCGGGTAAGCCGACCACGTGAAATATTGCATAAATAGATAACTCCGAAGCTTTTTATATGTTGTTGAAGTTGCGAGAAGTACGTTTCTAGTTTCTTACTTGGCATATAATTATTTAGTACTAGAAGTGACCAACCACTGATTTATACACGTGCAATTAGACACCGGCATCACCACTACCTTATTATTCTATTGCGCTTCTCGTATGACTAGTATGCCATCGTTTTATTTACCTGCAACGAGACTGAAAACGCTTATGCGGCGTGAAGTGCTTCGCACTGCAGAACATGCTATCAGAAGCGCCTAGCATAGGTTTTTGTGAGAAGATTGTTCCCAGTGAATTCTACTATTTCTTGCGAAACGTTCACTAGGCGTGTTTACAGCGCGTACCTTCAAAGACCAATCGCGCACTATTTTGGAGAGCAGAGACCTGGAGTTACTGACACTGAAAAGACAAGCTTTCCGTTTTTTTTTTTCCAAGACTGCACATCAACGCAGCGTCCGGTGTGCATGATTGTCTCCGAGTCGCAGCAGCGTGCGTTGACGATGTGGCGCGCCCAGAAGCAAAGAGCAGTAGTTTATGGCGTCGTAACCCAAGATCACAGCCCTTCGTTGACAGCCGTGAAAAACGTTTGGCTTCGAGGAGCCCCATCCCGCACAGCGGAAGTGAGCTTGAGCAATGAACAAGTTGCTCGAGGAGAGGCGTGTGAAGCTGGTCACCACATGGCCGCCGACTGCAGGTTGATGTTCACATCTCGTGATGTCGCTACTGTGAAGCTGGAGCGTCTGCAACGAAAAGTATGAGCACGCATGTGTAAACACACTGCGCATGATGTTGGTCTCGCATGCACCGAAATAACCACCTGGGTTTATTCTGTATTGGCTTACTTGCGCTAATACAAAGAAAGACGCAGAAATAGCACGTGAGCCTGACTCACAACTGAAATTATATTGATCTAAAAGGACGTACATACAGCGAGCATGAAAAGACAACATGGGCTCATTGGTAAAAATTGGTCACGTGATAGCTCTAATAACTTAGTCACAACCTCACCTCCAGATACTCCAGCCAGAGTCAGCAAGCAGCACGACGCATCGCTGACACATACACGTGTTTTGTTAAGCACACAGCCTCGTACAGCTCTCACGTACAGCTGCACTTCTGTGAGTCTGCGCAAGTGCTGTCCTGCACTCTATTCATGTCGTTGCTTTTACTAGCGCAATTAAACCACTACAAAATGAACGTCAAACAACATAGCCCAACTTGGTGCTTTCCTAGAAATCTGTGTGAACAGGACATTTTGACAAACAGACTCACAGGCATTGCAAATACTAATTATTTCCCCAATCAGCACACGCGCGTGTAGACTCACCGAGCACTTCACTAGTGGCTCGCTCTCTAGGACGAGTGTACATCACAAGGGGGCAGCAAACAAGCCTTGCATAAATTGGCACCATCTTCATCCCATGCCTCAAGAAGTGTAATTCTGGATGTTTTCACTCCAGAATTTACCATTCCTCCATGTTACATTTGAAAGGACAGAAGAGTAGAATTTCGAAATGTGAGGTTCCATAGCGACGTCGAATGACCGAAGTGAAATGAAAGCGACGTATTCATTTTACTTGATTTACACATGTAAGAAACACTTGTATGACGTACAAGTAGTGAATCGACACTTTTTAGTTTTTGTTTTTCCAGTTTAGGTACCAATTAAAAATTACCCATCTGTAAGAGATCGTCTTTTTTGTTGGAAAGTTATTTACGTGCATATTTAAAGGCGCAGTATTTATTATTGTAGCAACACTCAAAGACCTTTATTTTGTATTGTTTGTATTGGTTGTTCATTTGTCAGCCAAGAATAAATATGAGGTACCTTTTAACTCCATGTATACCTTATATCTAACTTCAGCATTTTTATCCGCAGTTATTATATTAAATACGTCGTCTGCATGCAACATATTTAGGCACAGTAGATTAATAATGGCCAATCAATTACACATAAAAGAGCCAGTTTAGCCGCAAGCATGCAGCAATGATAACGATAGCAATAAATTTTACAGATTTTAGAGCTAACAACGTTTACAGCTTGACACTTGTTATGTCCGGTGTTGTCGTCGGCCCATAGACGTACGCGTTGGTCGCGGTAGTCCAAAAAGCTCAGACAGCCTCGAACGGTTAAAAACAAGTTTATTCCTATTCGGATGGAGGCGGTGGCCGAACTGCCGGGGTAAACGAACGGTGGCTAGTTTGCGCCCAGCGGGGGAAGGGGAGGAGTAAACATCTGGAAGCAGTTTCAGCATCCGGTCCTTCGCGGGTTCAGAGGCTCGCTCGTGACACAGGGGTGCTTGGAACACAACATGTCCTCCCTCCTTATATTGTCGCTTGGAAGCGATCTGGGGGCGGCCGTGGGCGCGTGGACGCTCTGGACGCACTAGGAAAAGAAGCCTCCGCTCGCTGGGTGTCGTTTCTCTTGTGTTCAGGGCCGGCGGGCGGCGGCGCCGATTCATCTGGTGCGAGATGCCAGGCTAAATGGAACGAAGCTTCCGTCGAGGTGGCTGCTTAAATGGGAGGTTCCCTTGGCAAATTACCTGAACGGCGTAGCTGATTAAGGTGGCGGCGTGTGGCCTTTCCACCAATGTCGACGAGCTATGACCGCAAACCTATGCGTTTGAGTGCCGTCGCTTCAACCCAGCCGGGCTTTCTGTGGAACTGGCGGGCGTATATGCGCTGTCCACTTTCAATTCTCCTGCTATGCGGGAGATTTTCTTCCTCCGACGGTGCTTTCGCTGAGGGCTCCGGGACAGTTGCTGTCAGCTGGGTTCTCATTTCTAGTCCGAACATCAATTTCACTGGCGTTTGATCAGTAGTGCTTTGAACAGTGTTGTGCTTTCTGAAGAGAAAGCGGGTGATGCGGCGTTGCATTGTCCCAGTCTGGTCTTTAGTAAGGGCGCGCTTTAGCTCAGCCACGTAGCGCTCGGCTTGTCCGTTCGTAGCCGGGTGTTAAGGAGCTGATGTAACAGACGAGACGCCGTTGTCGCTGTAAAACTTGAGAGTCTCCGTGGACACAAACGCAGTGCCGTTGTCCGAGACCACCTTGCACGGTAGGCCAAACGTTGCAAACAACGACCGCAAGGTGTCGATAACTGCTGCCGATGTCGTTGTAGCCATTTGTTTTACCTCCAGCCACTTGGTGTATGCGTCTACAACCACCAGGAACGAACACCCTTCGATAGGTCCAGCAAAATCAATGTGCAGGGTGTGCCAAGGCGTGTCTGGTCTTTCCCATTCAGGAATAGGGGCTCTTGGCGGGCTTCTGTGGTTGCCTTGGCAAGGCTAGCAATCGTGAACTGTTAATTATATATCATGGTCGATACCAGGCCACCACATATAACTTCTGGCGCACTTTTTCATGGCTACAATGCCTTGATGACCTGCGTGGACAAGCGACATGGCCTGTTCGCGAAGTGCCGCTGGAATTACAACTCTTGATCCCAAGGTGACGCAACCGCGATGAGTGCTCAACTCCGCAGCTCGCTTGCGGTAAGCGTTGAAGTGTTCACCCTTTAGCTTCTGCACGTTGCCTTCTTGTACAGCTGCGTAGACTTCCTTCAAGACAGTGCACTCCTGCATTGATGCTGCTATCGTGTCAGCTGTTAGTGGAGGGTTCGGCAGCGCCTCGAACATGAGTATATCACCCGGCGGGGGTGGTTCATCTATTGTGGTGTCAAGCGGCAGGCGGCTTAGTGCGTCGGCGTTCTGGTGTTTCTTCCCAGTGCGATGTACGAGTTCGTAATCGTACGCCGACATCTTGATACACCATCGTGTCATTCGCGGCGACAATGTCTGTGGCATTGGCTTCTGGGGACCCATAATACCCAATAAGGGCCGGTGATCTGTTATGAAAGTCACTTTCCTGCCGGTAATGTACTGCCGAAAGTGATCTGCTGCGTAGACGATGGCAAGTCCCTCTTTATCTAGCTGGGAATAATTCCTCTCTGCCTGCGATGAGTTCACGGCGTGCAAGCAGCGGGAGGAGACGCGGGCGCTTCGCGAAGTGATCGGACGCGACGCTCATCGGCTCCGTCGATTTTCGGCTGGAACCGTGCTCTCTTCAATGTGGCTGCTCTAAAACTTGTGTGACTGCATCTGCCAAGTCAGCAAGATTCTGGGGACACCGATCTCACCCAGGTACGCCCAATTTTCGGCCACTTCGAGCAACTTTGCATCACAACGTAGCGAACGAGCTAAGCCTAACGGCGGCGGCTCCGCCGCTGCTGGATGCGGAGACGCCGCTCGGTCAACTCCTCAACATGGCGCTGCCTGAACAACGTGGCTACGACCCTACGACTCTGTCGTGGTCGTATATCCCGACAAATCCATCAGACGACGGCCCATCCACCATTTCGGTGGAGCAAGCCGACATTTTTCAACTCGTCGAGGGTCGGCGTCGCCGCCGAAGAAACGCGGAAGGAGCGTCTGCACTGAAAACTCCCCTCAACAATTCAGCCACTGGAGACGCTCGCGCTCCATCTCCTAAAGCTCCACAAAAGACTTCAACAGTCTCCAAGTGGACGCCGAAACCAACGGTCAGGATGAATCCTGGCGACTACGTGATCGTGCTCAAGCCACGCATCACAGTAGCCCTCAAGGCAGCGTTTCAACAAGGTGAGCTCGGCGCTGCCATTTCTTCAACTCATCGGAAGGCAGCACATGAATGACATCAGCATTTCTCCCAATTGGGAGCAAAACATCATCATCTGTGGCACGCAGAATAACGAAGTGGTTCAGAAACTGCTGTCGGACTTTAAAATCAACACCAGCAAAGGACCGCTGCCGCTTCGCGGTCACCTCAAGCTCACCGGTGATGTGTGTCGCGGCGTGATTTCTGCGCACAACCTCGAAACCAGTGCGTCTCTGAAACATAGTGTGCAGTGGCGTGGCGGTGAACTAGTCTATGCGCGCAAGCTGGGGAACTCCAACGTAGCTGTGTTGACTTTCGCGGGAAGAAACGTTCCGCGTTTCGTCCACTATAACGCAGAACTGACTCCCGTCAGGGAGTACAAGAAGACAGTGCCAGCGTGCTACCGCTGTGGTGCACTGGGGCACCGGGCGGATATCTGTCCCAACCCGGTCACCGAAAGATGCAGCCTTTGTGGCCAAAACGTGGGCGCTGGTCCTGAGGGGATGGCCCCCCACGAATGCAACCCAACGTGCATAGTTTGCGGGGGTCCGCACCTCACCAGCTCCCGCGAATGCACTGAAAAATTCATCAGGCTTCAGCAACCAGGGTCCGGGACATCGGGGACCCCAACAAAACCAAAGCACCGGTCAACTGGCAAAGCGCCAATTCCTGGCAAAGCAGCAACGGCAACGCTACCACCTGGCGCGGCGGAATCTCCAGCTTTCGGCGCTCCATCTGGCAACGCTGCACGCAACCAACCCAAGGTGGGCAGTTGGGTGGAGGTCGCCTCCTCTCCCTCCTCTCTCTCCTCTCCACCTTCTTCTGCCACAAACACTACCGAGACACAAAAACTCAGGCATGAGCTCGCCCTTTTGCGATCTCAGAATGAAAAACTAGCCAGCGAACTTGACTCGCTCAAAACCAATCTCACTACTAAGCCCTCGTTGAGCGACGAAGAGGAAAATATAACAGACAGGGAGATTCCTACTACTGTAGAGAGTCGCGTCGCGGCCCTAGAGACCCAGGTGAATGCAGTAGAAACACAATTGGCCGACCTCCCCAAAATTATCCACGACACCATCGCGCGTCATATGGAGACTGTCA